AATGTTACTTGGGACAACCTCCCTTTTTCGATCGGAATTGAACTAAAATGGAAACTCTCTATAACTCGATATTTAAGGGAACATTGAGTTATAGAACATTAAATACATTTTTACTATGGTTCTATAACACGATACCGAGGTAGTTGACTGTACTCTGTTCTATTCTATAATATATATTTTAATCATCAAATTAGGAGGAGTACTTTATAAGGGGAATTGCAAGTTTCCAGGAGAATCCCAAAACTAATCCTGAAGAGAATGCTAGGGATATGCCATGGAAATTCTAAGGAGAAAATCCACGAAACTTTGAAGTATGATGTACTAACGAAATGCTAAGGAAGATTGAATAAACTTATGAGGATAATTTTAAAGGTATTCTGAAAAGAACTCCAAAGATGGTCTGACTAGAATTCCACGATAATGGAGGAGAAATCTAATTACAATTAATTGGAAGAACTCCAAGTATATTCTAAGGAGAATTTCAATGTAGTTCTAAATAGAATACTAAAAGAACTCGATGGAAATTAGGTGGGTAATTGAAAAATAATGGGATACTAAGAAAACTTTCAAGAGAATTTCAATGGAACTCCAATGATAATTCCAAACGAATTCTTTGGATTTTTTTAAAGAATTCCTGAGCAGAAATCATTAGAAATTCTTGGAACAATTATATTAAAGTTTAGAGAGAACGCTTCTATAATGCTTAGGAAAATACAAAAATAATTTTTCAGGAGATTCTAACGGAGAATTCCAACGAAATTTTGCGAAATTATTAGAAATTCAGAGATAATTTCATACTGAAAGAGTTATTTGTAGAGAATTCTTAGAGTGTTATCAAATATTGTAATTTAACAATATAGCCCACTTCCCGAATTCCCATATGTTTCTGAACGCAACAGTAATACACCGGTCATAAGTTTAACAAAATAAAAGGTGTGGTAGATAGTATTCGCTTTCTCATGCATTCTTACACGCCTACCCTGACGTCATGACATTATACCAGGTTCAGACTAAAGTTGATATCACGTAATATAATATGATATCAAGAAAACCTATACTACGTGGTATGAGCTATAGTCTGAACGTACTATTAGCTTAAAGACGAAACACAAGACCCGCTTACAAGCTTAGTTTCTGCCTTGCTTCCAACATTAGAATCATATCTTAATCAATTGACTGTTTCGTGGCCCCTCCTTGCATCAATCATATATTATCATATATTTCGATGGATAATTCATGTGCACTCGGCTGTCGACAAAAGCAGGCCACTCTCAATGTGTGCCACGCGGTCGTCTGTTATCTCGGTAGCAACCATTGTGTGGTCCTCCTCATTGTTCTTCATCAGCAGTTCTTTCGATCGATGCGTCGTCGACTTTGGAAAGCAACCGTTTAGTGATGAGTGCGTGAGTGCTGACTACGTTTTGTGTCCATTGCTGCAATGGAAGTGCTTTGACCCCCGTTAACAATACTGCCATACAATGAAACCACTGGAAGCGGCTACCGTTCTGATGGAGGAGGCTTTTCGGACAGCGGAAGATAAAGTGTTTATTGTGTTGTACCGTTTGACTATAGTTTTAAGATGTATTGTATAGTGACCAAGAATCCTCGGCTCTGTAAAGTTAATTCGATTGAGCCTTATCAAATAAATTAATAAACAACTAAATTTATCGAACGAGATCGAAGGTATGATCACTGTGTTACAACAGAACTGCCGTAGTCTAGACTCGTTCAAATTTTTACCTCACAATTCTGATTGTGATATATTTGCTCTCTGTGAAATATGACTTCTTTCCGATAGAGAACTCAACTTCTCTTGCGGCTCTATCAGGCGTCGAAATCGTCGCTTGCCAAATAAATGTGAAGAACAAAGATCTTTGCATAACTTTAGTATACGTTCTACCATTAGCCGTAGTCAACTCTGGAAACTAGTTTAGATTCTGCCATCCCCAGTATTAATCCTGGGTGATATGAACTCCCATGGTATTGGGTGGGGCTACCTATGTATATGATGACAATAGAGCGGCTATTTTTTACGATTTATGTGACGATTTCAACTTGACTATGGACACTGGTGAAACGACACGAATAGCAAAACCTCCAGATCGAGAAAGCCGACTCGAGCTATCTTTGTGTTAAGGATTGCTATCATTGGACTGTATGAGGAAGGTTATCAATGATACCCATGGTAGTGATAATTTGCCAATCATCATTTCAATTAAGTGTGGCTTTCACTCTGCAGAACCATCTCGAGTTCTATTTATTCTTACAAGGAACATCGATTGGCAGAAATATGCAACGGCGGTGACAATCGGTGTCGAATCAATAGATACACTTTTACCGTTGGAAGAATATCAATTCCTCGCCGATTTGATTTACAAAAGCTCACTGGAAGCACAAAAAAGAAAAGTTCCAAGTGCACCCTTCAAAAGGAGACCAGCCACATCAGGATAGGAACGAAGAATGCACTAAATTGTATATAGGAAAATCGGATGCTTTCAAAGCTTTTCGTGGACACAAAACCTCCCTTACTTCGAAGAATATTTAAAGGGTGGAGGGTGGCTCGCAACATGCGTAAACGCTCATCTTCTAATGAGAGTGAAGAATACTCCAACCGATGGATATTCGATTTCGCTAAAAAGGTATGTCCGGACTCAGTTCCAGTACAACATATTTTTCGGGAAACGTCTCCAAGCGGCGGCTCTTTAGATAGACCATTCACGTTGCTGGAATTCTATATGGCTATTCTTTCATCGAACAACTCCTCAACGGGAAATGTTTTGATTAAGTTCAATCTCCCAGATATCGCAAAACGACGCTTGCTAGACTTATTCAATTTCTTACAAAAATAACATTGTACCGACTGAATGTAGATAGGTCGAAATAATAACCATTCAAAAACCTGAGATAATCTGCACAGATGTGGACTTTCTGAAATTGTGAACAGATATTTTACAGACGGGTCTCGTCTCAGTGGATTCACTGGCTTCGGTGTCTTCAATGAAAATTCAAGCGCCTTCCGCAAGCTCCAGGAACCTTGTTCCGTTTTTGTTGCTGCGCTGGCAGTAATCAACTTCGCATTGAGGATGATTTTCAACATGCCCGCAGACCATTACTTCATCTTCTCGGATAGTATCAGTTCAATCGAGGCTTGGTGATGGCACTGATGATGAGTGTGCTGGTCGAAAGATCATGTATGATTTCCTTTGTATGGGTCCCTTTCATATTGCTCAATCCCAGGCAATGAGAAGGTGGACTCTCTCGCAAAGGTGGGCGCCCAGGAAGGCGAATTTTATGACAGACAAATTTCACACGATGGATTTTACCACTTAGTGCGTCAGAGCCCTTTCGAGTTGACAAACCGATTGGGACAATGGAAATCTTGGACGGTGGTTACATTCAATTATTCCTAATGTTTCTTCTAAAGCGTGGTTTAAAGGCTTGGAGTCGTGACTTCATTCGCGCGATGAGTAGATTTATGTCCAACCACTACTCGCTAGATGCTCATCTCAATAGAATAAACATCGTGGACAGCAACATTTGTCGGTGTGGAAACGGTTACGATGACATCGATCACGCAGTTTGGCAATGTAAGGATAATGACGCTGCCAGAGAGCGACTTTGGAATACCCTCGAGGCCCAAGGAAGACAACCCTATGTTCCTACCAGAGACGTGTTGGGAACTCGCGATAACTGCTATATGCAGTCGGTTTATGTGTTTCTTCAAATGTCTAGTATAAGAATTTAATTCCTTTGTCTTTTGTCTCTCTTTAATAGTTTTTATTTGTCTTGTCCCTCCGTCTCGACGAGTCTCATCGTCGCCCACTGGTCACCATAGTCGGTCGAACTCCAGACGAAACTAGAACCGCACTACCGTTCATACTGGCGACAACGCTCTGATGAGACAACGAAACCTTACCCCCAAGCTCCTCCCCTGATCCTATCCTGCGACAATGTACCTCTCTAACCTCGGGTAAGCCGCGAGTATTCGGCCCAACTCCTACTAGACATAGAATTAAGTGAATTTTGTTACAAACAAAGTAAAATGAACTATCGACTCCGTAAAGCTAACGCGATTGAGCCTTCCAAATAAACGAACTAGTTAAAAAAAAAATGGTTTGTAAATTGTTGAGAACTACGTATACCGGTTTTGGAATTTTTAAACCCCCTTCTCCCGCGTGGCCAACCTTCCATACAAATTTTTGACACTTTTTTATGACAGTGAGTATTTTTGACTCAGTAAGTGAGTAAACGGAATGTAAACAAAAGTGAGTATAGTACCACATAGTACACTCAATTTTTGATCTCTTTTACCGCTGTATAACTCAAATCAATCAATCTGTCTTTTTTTTTTCCTTCGGAGATAAGCTACCTAGTCCATGGCTAAGAATCTCCTAAATAAAGTAAAAAAAAAACATTTTTCTTCACTTACTCATAAATGATTTTTGCAATTATAAGTCGATTCGACTGAATTTTGTGATTTTTAGAGTGGGCGGTAAATAAAACCCTCGATTGAGGTTGCGTCTACATTCACTGCTCATGTGGATGTAAACAAAAGTTATTGTGTTCGACAATAATAAGTGCAATTTGTAGAACGTTGCAACTCATCTAAAATGAGTGAATTAGCCGTTAAAATGTATGTTTAACTCTCAATTAATAACTGTGGAAGAGCATCTAGAACACTGAGAGTACGCGATAAGCTAAATTCAAAGAAGAAAAAGAAGAAGTATGTTTAAAACTTATTTTCGAACTTTTTCAGCAAACTTTGAATAAATGAATGTTTTTGAACTACAGCATTTACCGAATTCATTAAAAAGGGTTGCTGTTGATTTTAATTTTTAAATGTTTTTCAGAATATAATGAACTCAAAAATTGCTGAATAGTCGACAATCGTACGACGGAATGAATTGTGGGTCAAAACTACCGTAGACAGATATGCTATTATGAGCACTGCAGAGAACCGTTATTTAGATATATAGGGTAGGTACTATGATTGAACTTACCGAACCGTCGTTTTCCACCAGGCATAGAAAAACAACGTCCTCTCGAAGCAGACGAACTGCAGCATGCAACGGATGCTTCGTTTTACTTTTCAACATCTTGTACAACAGCGGACCGGACATGTGTTCAAAGTCCTGAGGCGTCAGATCGTCCCAGTGGGTCGAAATCAATCCCGAACAGTATTCCAACAGGTTAGCTGCACCGACATCTTCGGCTACACAGTAAAACCGAACACAGGACCGTACGGAAACAGACGACACCAGTGCCCGCTCACAAAGTCCCATTAGACCGGGCAATTTGAAACGGTGGGATGTTTTGAGTAGATCTAGAGCAAGCGAGTCATGCTGCAGATCTACGACGTCGGTATAAATCCAGCGAAGTAAGGCATAACCGACGTCGGCATCTAGGTCAGACCAATCTAAAATGAGAAATATTATTCAATGATGGATTGTGGTTTTAAGTCGTGATAAATATTAATCCATACCAAGTTCCGATTTGTCCCCTATGACCTCTTCGCGCCATTCTTCGCTACGGGCGTTCAATACAAACTTGTGACCCGGCATGATTTTGTCTTTCAGCTTGACTGTTATATCCGAATATGTCTTACGTCCGTACAATGTGGCAACGGTCATGACGAGACGCGAAACAAAGCTGCTGAATTCGCCTAGGTCGTGATCATCGCTGGAAGCGACAGCTTTACTATATTTCCGCTCCAGCTCTGCATAGTTTTTCTGCAGCTTGGTGTATTCTTCTTTGAGAAGTTTTAGATGCTTCTCAAGCTTAACAGAATCGTTAGTTGAACCTGGAAATAAAATACTAGCTTAATTTTCTTGTTAAACATTTCAAGCAACTTAATCTGTACGACTGTAGTTCCTAATCCCGACGTTGTACAATTTTGGCGTGGTTCTGAACCGGCGAATGTTTACATATTTCGAATGCGAATGATAAGATAACACGAAGAGAGCAAAAGAGAGGATAGGTTGCTCATTCATTAACACATCAGCATAAACGCCTCTCGCCGTCATTCGGTTTCCATTGGAAAGGAATGTGCGTACCGTGCGTATGGTGATGGGTGGGAACTAGAATTTAGTTCTTTCAATAGAATAATTCGCATTGTCACCAAACTTCACATAAATCCACGACTAATATTCCACCTCTCAAGCGGCGAAAGAGTAAAACGAGCGCAGAATAAAGCATGAAAACATAACAAAACTTAGTCACTAGGACAAGGGTAACGCTGCTGTTTCACGAGTAATTTGATTTAATGTCCAAATCATCATACGTACCCATGATTATTGAGCTGATTCCAACCCAAGAACAGTCACTTAATCGTAATCGCGCACTTTTACCACTGGAAAAAGCTATTATCAAAAGAAAAACATAACTTTCCTGTAGCGGAATACACTTTTTGCACTTAATATTGTCCTCTGTTGTTCAAACACTGCGAGCGAGGAGGAAGGCGAAAAATCAGTGCCAACATTTCAAAGGGGCGTAATTGCTTTTGTAAACAATGGCTTTAGACGTAGATTTCTCGCAAATGAAAACCCACCCCTTCAAATTACAAATGCTAGCTAATACAGGAAACATTCCTCTGCGTGCTGGTGTCATTCATTTTCATGAGTGTGCTTTCATTCGCGAGAAATCGACGACTAAAGCCATTGTTTACAAAAGCAATTACGCCCCTTTGAAATGTTGGCACTGAAATGATGATGAGAAATTTGAAACTGTCACAAAAAATGACAGATCATAGCGTCTCCTCAAACCAAATATGTCGACATCAAATTGCGACGAGTCCGCAACAGGTTCACGGTCGTTCAGATCAACTCAAAAATTGAGTCGAGTAAACCCACTTTTGCCGAAATGTGAGCATGCTGTGGTGGGTTCAAAACTGGACCATCTAAAATGATCAATTTAAAATACTGTGGAAGCCACAACATAGTTCCATAGAGGTCCCGAAGAAAAAAAAGTTCTGTCAAAACCGCAGCATTTTCATTCATTCATGAGCGCTATCTAACAACTATAAACAAACTGTACTATCTTCGGTCCCAAGCTAATCGATGCACCCCTCGAAACACAGGAAAATCCAAGAATCCCTCACGCTAACTTGAAAGTACCCATTAATGGTTGAAAAAGACCCATTTTGAAGAAAAGTGGCTTAACTCATTAAGTGAGTAATTTTTTTACCCATTAATGAGTAATTGTTAATCATTAATGGGTAACAGATACTCATTAATGGGTAAAATTGTTTAATCATCAATGAGTTAAGCTAGAGTCGGTGTATAATGAGTCACGCCAAGAGTAATGCCAACAATCAATACGAAACTAACGATTTTAAATTGGCTCACTACTTGACTAGCCAGCCCGCATAAACGCGAACCATAAATTGACCTTACCTAAAATGGTTAAAAATTGTTTATAATCCCTGCTAAACTTTAACTGAAATGGTTATGGAACTTTACATGAACGTTTAATGATAAAGTTTCAACCTTATGTATTATGGTTTTTTGGAACTGGACCTTACAAATAATGGGTTGTTAAGAACCATTACCATTCCAAATTCTTGTTTTCTCCATACATTTTCGGAAAGAGAACTATATTAGAACCTTTTAACTTATGGTTTGAGAACTTTAATGGTAATGGTTATGGTAGTCAGTAAGGTTCATTAATGGTTTTGTATTATCGCTCAACTTTACGTGGAATATATCGTGAATTGGTAATCAGTAAATTACAGGCAACCAATTCGCGATATATTCCACATAAAGTTGATCGATGTTACAAAACCATTCGTGGACCTTACTGACTACCATAACCATTACCATTAAAGTTCTCAAACCATAAGTTAAAAGGTTCTAATATAGTTCTCTTTCAGAAAATGTATGGAGAAAACAAGAATTTGGAATGGTAATGGTTCTTAACAACCCATTATTTGTAAGGTCCAGTTCCAAAAAACCATAATACATAAGGTTGAAACTTTATCATTAAACGTTCATGTAAAGTTCCATAACCATTTCAGTTAAAGTTTAGCAGGGATTATAAACAATTTTTAACCATTTTAGGTAAGGTCAATTTATGGTTCGCGTTTATGCGGGAGGACTAGCCTATTGGTCCCAAGCAAACGATTAACGTATCCCATTCTAGTCGAAATTCTAGTACTACGCAATGTTTGTTTTGATTCGCTATGAAAGTTTGACAGATAAAATGAGGGGTGCTCATTTTATCTGTCAAACTTTCATAGCGAATCAAAACAAACATAGTGTAGTAATAGAATTTCGACTAGAATGGAGTAGCTAATGGTTTAGCTAATTTTCACAGTTAATCATAATGGCACGTAACCTTGCATTGCAAACATGTTATTTCTTATTAACGTGAATCAAGATCCGTTTTCATAAAATTTCATTCGCTTTTTTTGAAGTTACTGCACAAGAGAAAAAATGCTAAATAACTTTTTTACGTTGAGAAAAAATGTTAAGGGTTGCAATTGCAATGCCAAAACCGTGTTTTTTGTTTTTAATTTTAGTTAAATCGAAAAATGTTTTACAGTCAATCATAACGGAACATTCCATTAAAACATTAAAACATAAATTGAGCACATTTATTGGAGTCACATGGAACATTGCATTATTGCTAACCGGAATCAATATCCTTTTTTTCAGAAAATTTCACTTACTTTTGGAAGCACCTGCGCCAATGTCGTGACCGGACTGAACTCGAACCACGTACGTTGCGATTATCAGACCTGTGCTTTCTCCACTGCTCTCTCTTGCATTTTCATTGATCCATTGAAGATGTTCAATGTAGAGTCGGTGTATAATGAGTCACGCCAAGAGAAAAACAGTTGAACTCGCATCACGGTTTTCGAAAGATTCCCTTTCTTTTAACTTGGCAACAGAGGACTTCTACATCAACTTCAAATGACTTCTAGCGAGAAAAAATAATAACGGCTGTAGTAAATCATTATATCAGTGATTTTGTCAAATTATCTTAACAAAAAATAGTAGAAATTCTCATTACCGATCATTACCAAACGTATCCCATGACAATTGAATCACAGACAAACAGACATAACTCTCATAAGTTGTTCATCGAACAAGCATTTAACGGTCAATTTGAAAGTATCTCAGTTGGTAGTACTGCCACCTGTGGCGTGCATAGAAAATTTCCTTGCGTTTGACGTTTACACACTACCGCCATCTATGCAGCGTACTACCCACCACAGTGTACTCAACAGGTGGCGGTAATGTTTTAGCGACGATGTTTTACAATGAGAAATAGTCAATGTGTTATGTCTGTTTGTCTGTGATTGAATGCTCTCTGCGTGTTTATTATCATTTCTCGATGAACTGCTCTGATCGATTCTCTTCATCGACTTTCTCTTTTCATAACCACTGCTATGCAAACAGATTTCGCGCTAATTCTACCACATAGTTTGATAAATGAGGTTCTCATATAACGTCCAAAACGTCAAATACAACAGGGAAAGGTTTTGCAGCTGAGTTATTGACGAAAGAGAAAGTCGATGAAGAGAATCGATCAATGCAGATAGGACCTTTTGAAATGTTTATCTAGATTTCTTCGATTATATTTTATATTTTATTGCAATACCTTTCGTGGAACTTTCATAGCATCGTAATGTTTGTTTACTTTGCATGATAGGTAGCTGGTTTGACAGTTCGATAGGTAGACTTGGCATTACTCTTGGCGTGACTCATTATACACCGACTCTAGTTCAATGTAGAAGATTCCGTTGTCCTCATAAACAATAAATTAGACATGATTGAAAAATCTTTTACCAATTACTAGAACTAAATTAACGACCAATTAAACAATTTACTAAAACAAAATAAAGCTCTGGTTACTGAAAACAACGAACAGTTTAGAATAAACCATAAGGTTCAAGCGGTTCAAGACAGATTGAATAGAATTGGGTTGTTTAGGGGTATTGAGGTAAATACATATTCGTTATCTGCATTAAAATTGGAACCTAAATCCAAAATTTCATCAATTTTGGTACACTGGAACTATTTCAAATAAGTACGATTACATTAGCAAAAATCACCATCTTAGCGCCCCTTGGTGGGACTTTGTATGTGAGCGAGCTGTCAACGAATAGATTTAGTGTCAACGATCAAAAATTTAAATCTCGATTTAAAAATCGAGATCAATGTCTACGGGATCGATAAAAATATCGTTGTGCTCATAAAACAAAGCTTTATCAGATAATGTATGAAAATCGGTACATTTTTCGAAGTTAAACAACCCAATTATATACACGTTTAATGACCAACAAAATGTTATTAAAAACAACTTCATTAGATTCAGGCGAAACATTATAAATGGAAGGAATGGCTTAAACAAAATTAAAATTGTAAAAAAAAATCAATATAAACCTAAATATTGATCTTTTGGCCAATCTTATAAACGACATTTTTTTAAGCCATACAAATGTCTCATGTTAAAATTATTTCTAAAGACAAATCCTCAAGAGCTCAATACTACTAAACGAGAATGTAACTATCAACAGTTTTGATCAAACTCTAGAATATCTCGACCTAATTGTAATATTTAAATAAACAATCCAAATTGTATTCATCGTTTGATATCAACGTTGACGGAGGATATCTCGATGAACATTTCAAATGGTCCTATCTGCTTTGATCGATTCTCTTCATCGACTTTCTCTTTTCATAACCACTGCTATGCAAACAGATTTCGCGCTAATTCTACCACATAGTTTGATAAAGGAGGTTCTTATCTAGCGTCCAAAACGTCAAATACAACAGGGAAAGGTTTTGCAGCTGAGTTATTAACGAAAGAGAAAGTCGATGAAGAGAATCGATCAAAGCAGATAGGACCATTTGAAATGTTCATCAAGATATCTTCGAGCATCAGCTACTGAAACCGATCGATAATCTTCATTTCATCGAGGCACTTAACAATGATCAATCAACATACCAAATCACGGGGGAATGCATGAAAACACTGTTTTCAAAACAGAACAGAGTATTATTTACAGCACAGAAATTGAAAGATGTCAATTTTGAAACCAGACAAAAACTACAAAATTTACACAGACAGTAGAAACATTCAACCGTCGGAACATCATTAACAATAATTACCGTTGCCATCATTTTAATACTCTACATGTCCAGAAGTCATTCCAAAACCACATAACCAAAACGAACCGAGACGGTCCGTTCTTCAGGAGGAGGAGCTACCGAACGGATCGAATCATCACCAACCAACAAACACTTAGCATCACCAACGATGGCAAAGGAGAGCAGCAGTATCAGCATTCCATCAACATTATCCGCGCCCAGCGACCGGCACTTAGCAACATCGACGACGACGACGACGATGACCACGCGATCCACCGGCACCGCACTTACCGGTGACATCGCTAGATCCCAATCTAAGTCTAAAGTTTGGTTAAAATTGAGCTTTTTTTTAATTTTTAATAGTTTCGTTCAGGGGGTGCATTAGTGTCTATGAGGGTCATATACATCTACTGAAAATTGTATGGATGATTGTCTACGAGGGGGTCCAAAACCACTCAACGGTCTACGTAGTTTATGAACAGCAGCCCTAATTTATTTATTTATTACAATAATGTTATCAACAGACTAGTTTGGTGTCCAACTGATAAAAACAGTTATCTCAAAGCTAACTTTAGAAGACAATTCGCGTGACATGTAAAAATCAAAAACTGAGGAGACTTGGTTGAACGTCCGTTGCAGGGCGATTAGCCCGGAGTTCGCCGCATAGTTAGTTCTCCTTAGTGGGATCCTGAGAAGAGAGTTGCCTCGAAGCCGAGCGGGACGACTCTATCTACGATGCAGAAAAGATTGTGTTTTGCTGTGGCTAACTGCACACGCACACTGAGTAGATAGAAGGAAGATTTATGTCGATTTTGAAGATTTCCTGCAAAAAGATGAAGCACGATGCAAGTAGATGCGAGAAATGAAAATGATTTTTCGAAGATTGATACGCTAGTGTGAGATTTTTTGAGCATCTAGATTCGATAAAGAGTCATAAATTGTTGAGATATTGTTTAAAATCTAACACTGCTTCTTGATTATAAATTCGTTCTACGAGTTTCAATTTCGTCCAAACGCATTGAAACACCATTAGATTTTCTTCATCCTACGGATAAACGTAAAAAGGGGGATTCGCTAGGAGCGCTTCTTTTGTTTTGAGAACAATGAGCGTAAATATTCATACAATGCGCTCTAACGTGATTTATGTTGTAGCTAATGTACTAACGCATCGGAACAAATCTATTTTTGATTTGAGCACGGTGAAATCATTGATATTATTGATCTTTTCTGATCGATAGAACGGAAATGGGCGATTACGACGAAGTAGCGCTCTACCCTATGTAAATCGTTGACTTCACGCAGAAGTAATACTAAACATATAGGGGAAATGTTGGCTTCGGCAATACCTTAACCTATTATCGTCAGGGGGTATAACACAGTCCTAGGGCACTCAATTTTGGCCAATAGTTGCTCTGAAACACAATGTATCCACATGCCAAAATTGAGCTCTCAAGGACGTTGTTTACCCCCTGACGATAATAGGTTAAGGTATTGCCAAAGCCAACTTTTCCCCTAGTCAAAGTAAAATCGGATACCTACTCAACCTTCTTTCCTTTCGACATAAATCATCTTACAATCAACTAAATACAAACAGTCAGGCAAAAAATTGGCATTATAAAATCTTCACAATTTGGACGACAATACTTTCCCTGCAATTTGAGACGGTTGAACGAAAATTAGTCCATAGCAATCACAAGGACTATTTTATATTTGCCTCAAGGCTTCTTGAATCCTAAAACCCTTCCCTCTGCTGCCTCTGTGGAGGTGACATAGAGGTGATAATGAAACACGGAAGACTACATGCCAGAAGAGCGACAATCGAAGAAAACCCGGACAAGGCCGTCGAATCCTGGGCAAACTTCGCACACCATGGATTTTAATAGCTATGAAACTGTTCAGACCTTCTCCGAGCAATCTTTACGGAACGTCCTTGCAAGCAGGTAGGTACAACGTGATTCACAAATTGGATTTAGGGATTTCTTTCACATGATTAACTACTACTCTTGGATTACATTTGTTTAGTCGCAAACTGTTCATCGATATGATGACTTTATTTATTTCTCGATGAAATCAGATCCATAAAGAAAGTACTCTTCTGTGGGTGGTTAGTAGGTATAATTCCTTTGTATGTACACTAACAGGCATGCAGAAGTAACGATATGCCTATAATAATAGCTGCTAGACGTGTATTGCTGCGCGGTAAAAGCTACATTCAAGCCGGATAAAACGGAGATTTCTGTGAAAGGCTATGTAAATAAATATTTTTATTTTCTTGAAAGGAAACTTGCTCGATATCTGGCTTTCTATTCCTAGTATCTTTGGCGTTGGCCAGATTTTCAAAAAGAAAAATTAAAACAAGATTTTTATTCTGTAGATTCAAGGGAGTCATGCAGCTACAAACCAAAACGCTTAACAATTAAAACATACACGATTTAGAGAATGAATAGAGAGAGCACACGTTCGCATTCATTTTTTCAGCAATTTTACGACGACGGTTCTTTACCATTGAAGCGGATCAGCGATTACAAATTGTCAATTGTTGCGATTTTGCTTTAATAATTACTTTGTCAGTTACCGTGTCTTATAGATCTAGATTTGTAGATGAAGTATAACGAGTTCACTTCCAAGTTACGCTAATTCAAATTGTAGATTCCGGTATTAAGTAGATCTTAACTATTGAGGTTATTGTTTCATTTTTATCTTCTTTGCTAGTTTTACTGAGAATGTTTATAGAGAAAACCAATAGTTATTTATTGAATTCTGACTAATAAAGAGGAATGATATGGCCTGGAATTCTGAAGACGTTTCAAATAATTTAAAATTAGGGAGAAAACAACATGTGCCAGGTTCATTCCCTGTGAAATACAATTAAACAAGAGATTCGACAAAAGGTGACGTAGTGAGAAAATCTCAATGATACTTTTCCATTAAAGTCTACTTAATGTTACGGGCAGATCAACTGTGTTTTATTCGCTAAGTATATAAAAAAATCTATGTTTCTTCTCATACATTAGTAATTAGACGAGCTTCAATTTAGCCTAGCGTTACTTTACTTGATTTATCGGTACGTGATTTGGTTTACATCAATTAGTAAATGCCATTCTTGTTCGAATCCATTTCCCAGAACATCGAGCTTTTGAGAAACTTCTCAAAGTAATCTGTAAATATATTGTGTCTATCGATTTACGACGAATATAGCAGCATAAATAGTTTAAATATATTGAAAAATAAGAACACGTACACTAGCGATACGTACGGAATCATGGTAGGTACGAGAAATTTGTTAAAATAAACAATAAGAAACAAGAGCAACAGATTTAAGGAAATGTTTTCGTTTGTGATTATAAGTTAGACTAGATGAACTAATTTGCAGACATTAAAATAAGATAAAAATGACTTTGTCCTTTCCATATTAAAATAAACATCCTATATACAACATTAAATATATAAAAGAAAATAAAATTATTTAAAATGGATGTGTGCATTTTTCACGCAATTTGCTTTACGATTTGAACAGAACATTTAAAAAGTAGATCTGTAACTTATATCACAAATACAAATTTCAGCTCCCAAGTGTGTTGCTTAAACTGCCATACTTTCAAACAGTTGTTCCATACGCCGCACTGAAAACGGCACGAGAGCTATCGGTATCAAGTGAGATATCTTCCGGGCTGGCCAAATCGACTCGAATTTGCTCCAGCTGGGCATCATTCTGAGAATTGGTGCTAGCGCTGTTTATATTACCCGGTCCACCACTAGTGCTGCTGCTATATGTGTAACTGGTATTTCTGCGGCGATTAGCTGCTGCCGTTTGATTTCCATTAGCGCCTCCCCAGTATCTAAGTGTCCAATGGAAATGGGTGGGAGCAGACGGAGTTTGATTACCAGTCGCTTCCTCACTTTCATGTTCCGCAGCCTTATCGGTATTGCCCGCATCACCTAGCGTAGTAGATGGCATTATAATCGTAACTTCACGATTCGTACAAGGTAACGTTTCACTGGCACCGGCTATCATATCCATACTATCCTTGGTCCCAGAATTGGAAGAGTTTGAATCCAGTGAATCGATACTGGAATCAATCGCGGCCAATCCATCTACGCTAATCCCAACCGAACGATTCCCATCGCCTCCGGATTCTTTAAAACGGATTAGTGCTTCCAAATCACCCTGACATTCCTCTATCGACCGTAGAATATCCCAGCAAATGTCCGACTCGATCGGGATAGGATGATCCGAATCACGGTTGTAGATTGATATGGCTATATGTACGGGATGTGGTATCGGAAGTGGAATCAGCAGTTTATCTGAAGCGTGAGTTTCCACTTGTTTTCGCTTCCACGGTTTCCAACTTTTTCGTGACTTCTGCGTCGGAATCGGCGAACGACGAGCTCTTACACGAGGTGTTGTTAGACCAGAAGAAGTGTCACTGCAATAAAATAAGTATATTTAGCTTTTATGAACTGAAACAATCGTTTTTAGGTCCACTTACTTTCTCTTCTCAGCTCTTCTGGAGTTGATCATGACCCGTGAACGGGGATTGAAAGCAGAAACTTCCAGGTATGGCGAATGAACTTGGATATTGCCACGTGGAGCGTACACATTGCCCAGGAGGTCTGGCCCGTTGATGCCCATTATATCACTAGTGTTTTGTACCATTTCAGTGTAACGAGACAAGTCCAACTGTGTGTGTGGTTCCAGCTTGAATTGTGTATCACTTTCCGAAAGTGGCGTCAGAAAGTCCAAACTAAATATGTCGGCATACAGCATCCCGGCTAGACCTGCCCAATCACCCACTGAGAGACCCTGTAAAATAACAACGTTTATTTGTGTGGAGCCCACCAAACAGAAATGTCGCTTTATAATGAATCGTATAAGGGAACGAAATCTATTCAACTAATTCGGAGAAGAAATACTAATCCGAAGGACAACAACATCCATCACTATAATAAAAAAGCTTTTTTATGAAAAATAAACAAACCTTAGCATCCCAGAACTCATCCTCGCTTATCGACAGCCGTGCTATGACATGGGCCGGACAAAACTTCTCCAACATGTAAGCCGACTGCTGAATAACGATTTTTAGTTCCATCGTGTTCAGTTTGATTCTCGACTTGACGGCGGTCGTAAGTCCGGTTTGAAGATCTCGGCGCCGTTTCTCTAGCTTTTCGTGCAAGGACGTCATAAGATCTTGGCCTTCACGTTCCAACTGCCGGTAGGGACCGACCGTTTTAGAAAGTTGCGCCGAAAATGGACCGAAACAGGCTTCCACAAATTGACTGAAGTCTTTCTGCGGCTGACAGATGACGGTTTCCATTGAGTGTTGGTAGGCCTAGAAAAAAAACTAATAATGTTAGGCCCTGATGGTCTGCTAAAAAAGGTTTTGAATCTATTACCTGTAACTCATCGAGCTCCATCTTGGCCTCGAATGCAGCCAGGGCTTGTTCAGGTTTTATGGAGAAGTAGTAATCCAAAGCCAAACCAGGTCCTGTAATACGCTTAACAGCAAAGCTATCACTAGCCGGAACGCGCCCACATTTCTTAATGAATAAATGAAATGTTAGGGCATCCCAGAAAAGTCGTAGCCAGTATCGTGCCACTCCCACAAACAGAACAATGATCGACACAGCAGGACAGATTACTGATGCTACCATCAGTGCGACAACAGGCTGGACAAGTCCCTGCATTATTATGTTCCATCCGACAGCCTCCAAGAAGATGCAGTGCCGATTCCGACGACTCTCGTCCGGACAGTCCAGATCGTAGACCATCATCATATACACATGCAAGGTAACGGTAATGAAAGGCATCCATAGCGGTGCTGCGATCGCAAATGCAATGCTACTGACACTAACACTAACACATAGCAGCGGAAACAGGGTCAGTATGACCAGTGAGCCAAGAAAGCCTTTAATAAAGTAGTTAAACAATCGGTTTAAATGCCGCGTCATGCCTTTACCAATGAATCCGGTATCTGGTTCCGTTTCGAAGTGCGTACGGGCCTTTGAAATATGCCTCCACAATTCTACCAATCGTGAGCACATCGTTTGAGTGATGCTAGTTTTCCGAGGGAACAGTGTGCCGTTCACCTGAGATAGTTCCAAATCGGCCATAAAAGGCTTAACACAAAAGAGAGCACGCAGCCCCAATGGACTATCCCAGGGTACGATCACACCGAGTAAAAACATCATATTCCATGTCCAAGTCCAGGTACGCTGGAAAAGGTTCAACAGACGCCACATTGGCCATCGGGTGCTCGTAGAGCGTACGAGTTCTTTTTCGACAAGGAACACTGGTTGACTAGGATCCGAGCGGGGGGTAACTATCGATGTGGCCTGTTGAGTTATGACCGTTGGTATTACTTCCGAATGTCCCTGGAAGCTACGTCGGATGATCCACGACTTCGGAGACCATATCCGACAAGCCCACTGGAAGTTGCGTGTAGGGGTTTTGGCGTTTTTCAATTCTTTTAGGAGAACCGGCTCCCGCTGCAGAGAAAAAGACCATTGTATATAACAACACATGTAACCTATTAAGAAGTCAACCAATTACCTCCTTCATGAATGCCATATCCCGTGTAAGAAAATACACCGACTGGTGCAGATTGTGCTTTTGTGCAATCTTTAGTGCTTCCTCGTGGGCTCCCCAGGTAATTTTCGATAGCTTCGTTTGCTCTCCGGCTTCAAGTTTCGCACGTAACCAGGGAGAAATGCGTGATAGAACAGGATGTTGTTCCTGCAGAAGTTTACGATGTTCATCACTGGATTTTTTTAGCTCTTTCTGTATTTTATCGACAGCCCTTGAAAATTGTGCGAAATTTATTTTAAGTATCAGATACAAGTTCAAATGCTTAAAACTCAACTTACTTGTGCATAATAACGACCGATTGAGCTTGTTGCACCAGCAGCTGAGGTACATTTTCCCCTAACCCTGCTAAATCACTATTCGATAGTATAGACGTATAGACCCGTTGCAAGTATTCCTTCATCACCGCATCGTTGACTTCCTCTTCGATTTCAGCATCGGTCATTTTTCGTTCCCGCAGCTCAGAAATCAAACGCTCGCGAAAATGAAGAAACCATCCACGTGTTTCCTTCTCCAGTATTCCAACCAATATGGGCAGTGCTTTGCGCATAATATCTTTGGAAAATAGCCGTAAATCAATATCCTGCCCTTTGGGTGTTACGTACAAGTATGGTACGGGCTGTGCTTGTTGACAATTGACGTCAAATTTCTCCATGTTGGCTCGCCGAAGTTGATGCCGTACGTAACTGCAAAGCGCATCCAAACAGTCTTCGTACTCGTTCTATAAACAAAAATATCCACAATCATTGAAATGTCACCTATAATACAAGTTGTTCGCAATTCTTACTCTACAAACTAGTTCAGCTACCAAAAAACGACATCTTTCCTCCTTAATCTTATTATCTAGATTTTGCGCCAATAGAGACGGAACGCCTGCAAAAAAAAAACACGAATCATTAAAGATCTTCCATTACCTCTAATAACCTGCTCATCAACATACCGATCACCATATCGACCAGTTTGATTAACCCTTGCAACAGGGCATGAGCGGCATGAGCAACTGAGAAGAAATGACCAAACAGCCTTCCCATGGCGCTAATGACTAGGAATCGAGCCGACATGGCAAGATCACCGAGCAACGAATCACGAGTCCGTTCCGATCCTTTCTGCAGAATCTGTGACAATCTCCAGCGGTGCATCTGACCAGGGAAGTTCAAGCTGGGTACCTCGAACTCACTGGAAAGGAAAAATGATTAACTCTTTCTTTATTGACAACCAACCTCACAAAAATAGCATTCTACAAAGAATCAACGCTACACCGAGACCATTTCGCTACATAAAATATATACTAAAGTTGACTATTAATAGCTACTGGAACAAACTATCCAAGACATTCACGATGTATCATGATGAAATGATAGTTCATCTGTAGTGTTCGAGTGTTTGTTTTATATTTATTTACAGCACAGATTTATGTGGTTTGTGATTATATGTTTACACAAAAAAATCAGTTCAACCCAGCATTGTCACTAAACCTATCAACGACACCTAGCAAATTATATGTGTAACATGAATTTGCAACACAAGTCGTGGATGTACCGGGATACAATGGAAAGCAGGAATCCCAGACGAATTAAAAAAAATACTTCAACGAGATTGAAAAAGTGTCTTCACATGTCACCGCTACTTTTCAATTTAAATATACATCAAACTGAGTCATTACAAACGTTCAGGGAACCTTTCAGAAGTTTAGGGAAATTTGTAGAAGTTGAGCAAATTCACGCCACCTGACGAATCGATTTTACTTTATACTCTCCGAATTCTATGAAACTATGCACAATAAATTGTTCGCAGGGGACAAAAAATCAAGTTTGTGCTGGAATTCGGCCGCACGCTTAATTTTTCAAAATGGCGTATAAAATCTTTTTCAATAAATCTGAGACAAAGTTGTAGGAAACTGAATTTCCATTTCAGAAAAAGATACACACCAAAAAAAAAATTGTAAAATGTCAACTGCTAGTAAAAATGTTTAACTATTTTTTTCACAAACAATTTTTATTGTTTCTTATACAGATTTTTTTCTGAAAATCGTTTCCTATAAATATTACGTGAAAAAAAGTTCGAACATTTCACTTTTTTTCCTCTGTTCGGGACCTAACACCACTGCGGGACCACCTCTGTTCGGGACCTAACACCACTGCGACCAGCAATTTGATCTATTGTAGTATATCCCGTGTCCTTAGTTTAGTACATGTCGTATTACTCCATCATTATTGAGAAATGATGAAATATTCGATTTTTTACAGTTGTCATTCTTGCATTTACCGCAAGGATCCGACTCCAATTGAAAGGTCACGCTATTTATACCCTTCGGAGTGTTGAAACACCTTAGGATTCCTTAGCAACAAAATCCAACAATGACATCGATAATGACCATGCATCAGAACCCTAGTCTTAAGCACTTCAAACTAGGGAACAACGAAGATTAGGAATCACATAGATGAAGACTAACTCGACAGTGAGCATACATAAAGGCGAATACGCGATGATCGATTCTCTTCATCGATTTTCTCTTTGCATTGCTACAGCTAAGCGAAACAATTTTCTAGAATTTGTTCAATGCAGAGTAGTAACAGGTTGTATTTTGTATCAAAAGCAACAGCAAACGCACCGAGAAACGTTAAATCTAGCGAGTTATTAACAAAAGAGAAAATCGACGAAGATAATCGATCATCGCGTATAGGCCCTTATGCATGCTCACTTCACTGTCGAACTAACTCATTTTTTCCTTATTTCAAGATCATCCTCGGTGGACAAACCCGAGTCTTGTCACTATCAACAAGACACACACCACTGCGTCCTAGCAAGAAGTACAGTCGACTTGTTTCGCGCTCCGTTAAGGTGTTTCACTGTGAGATTCTTATTCCAGTAATCACTTCGAAAATTCAAGTGCACAAATATCAGCTTCCAGGACACGTACCATAATGAAACTGTTACTCCACATTCGCTGCACTGCAACATACATAAAGTAGCAATTTCAGATGAATTGAGGCACTAATTTCTGTGATTTGTGTTCGTGCATGTACAGCTTTCGTGACGGCCATTTGTGGACTCTACAAGGAATCACCTTAATTGTTGCTGTGTAAACGCTCGGTGGTAGTAGTATAGGCACAAACGAAGTGACAGACGGAGCGGCTCGAAAACTTTGGTGACTAACTTGCTATTTCAATTTTTTTTTTTTTACTACTGGATTGTACCACATGGCAACACTACTTCTGGATTGTACTAGCATTTTCACCAAATTTGGTTTGTTTTTTTCCGTCGATCTTGTTTTCCGTGCTGAGCACCAATGCTACCGACGTGCCAGAAAGGCAGCTCCCACACCTGAACCCTACCTATCGACCCATCAACTCATGAACCGGGGACCAACGGCTTTACTTCCCATCCGAAGGAAGGCGTGATCAGATATGTTATGCCAGTGTTCACTCGGCTGTCGACAAAAGCAGGCCACTCTCGATGTGTGCTACGCGATCGTCTGTTTTCTCGGCAGCAACCATTGTGTGGTCCTCCTCATTGTTCTTCATCAGCAGTTCTTTCGGTCGATGCGTCGTCGACTTTGGAAAGCAACCGTTTCGTGATGAGTGTGTGAGTGCAGACCACGTTTTGCGTCCATTGCTGCAATGGACGCGCTCTGACCCTCGTTGGCGTACAACAATTTGCCATACAATGAAACCACTGGAAGCGGCTCCAGTTCTGATGGAGGAGGCTTTTTGGATAGCGGAAGATAAAGTGTTTATCGTGTTGTACCTTTTGACTATAGTTTTAAGATGTATTGTATAGTGACCAAGAATCCTCGGCTCTGTAAAGTTAATTCGGTTGAGCCTTATCAAATAAATTAATAAACAAAAAAAAAAAGATATGTTATGCCTCAGAACATCCCGGCGGCGCCGACTGGGATTAAACCCAGGCCTGCTGGGGTGAGAGGTAATCACGCTTACCACTACACCACCGGCGCCGTTATTTTCACCAAATGTATTAGAATGTTTTGGTTCTATCTCTTTCACTCTACTCAAAACTGAAATGCATTAAAAAAAATGACAAAATGCAGGCTTTTTGGTCCCACTAGCGTCCGATTAGGGGATAGTAAGAGATTAAAAGAATAAAGAAAAGAGATAGAGAATTTTGTTGTTTTGCTGAAAAAAAAAAGAAAAAAAAAAAAAAAAAAACACGCCGGCTTGTTGTGCAACATCAGGTTTGTTCGCTTTCATTCCGTTCCAAGGGGCAACGTCCATCGTCGTCGTACTCAAATACCTGGGAACCTCAAGAGGTGCACAGGGCCAACGTGAAAGACTTCTATTCTGGGCAGCTGCTTGACCTGGGCCCAGGTCAAATTCCTATCAAACGCTTGCCTACAGACTTCGTTTCTATTGCAATCGGCTTCTGATGACATTTACATCTGAGATCCATTTGTGAGGCCACCAGCCACAAGTAATATACCGCAGGCAGCGGTTGATGAGACCTGCAGCTTTTGAGTGTTCTCCACTGGTGCTGCACAGATTCCACGTTTTAATCGAAGTTTCGAATTTTGGTACGTTGACCAATCTGATTTGATCTCCGCTTTTGTGTAAATGTCATATTATCACCGACCTTATTACCATCACCTTAGTGTGTGACATCAGGTGTACGCTCCTCTGTGTTTTCGTTACCAATGCAGTTAATTTGACACGTTTGTTGCATTCCCTTATGTCTCAATATTATTCTTGCTGAACCACCGGCAAACCCACTATCCAGAGGCAGCGAACCACCTTAACACCTGAAATTATACAAAAACAAATTAAACATTAGTACCAAACCCCCCCCCCCCCCCCCTTCCTCGATTGCAACAGCTCCAAGCCATGCAACAGGATCATTTCGTGCCCCATGACAACTTGATCCAGTTGCTTCCAGGTTCATTATTTTGGCGCCAGCCGGGAGAGACTTGGTCCTGTACCAAATGCTTTCCTTGTCTCCATTCCGCTCAGCTACTCGCAATTGATTGTGATATTAGTGGGCGGAATATTACAATGTGAGACAATTCAATGCAGACGTCTTCCAAATTTGGCCGATCGTCAGGCAATCAGTGGGTTACCACCTGGCACCTCTTAGCAAGCACTATGCTACGAAGCGGACCGGAAGTTTTAATGAACAACCTCCCTCAACTTAACTTTAACTTAACTTTACATTAAACATTAACATCGGGAACTGTCTGCGAACCTAGAGGATCATAATTCTTATAGAATTTGTAATTATTTTTCAAAATTGATCCGCTGGAGGAATCTGGCTGAGTAAAAATTGATGCGTTGCATCAGTAAGGATGCTTAAAACATGGCTGACCTCGCAATTAGCCGCCGCGAAAAAAATCACAAAAAAAAATTGCTAAGTTCCATCCGCCATTTGGTAGCCCGGCGGATGAAATTACTATAATGGAGCGGTCCGCATCCCGTACGAAGGGTGAACAATCAGTTTTCAAGCGCCCAATGTCAAATGACGTCACTTTTTCGCCGGCAATTCGTGTGGGACGATCTATATTCTATGATCACTCTAATTTCAATGCTTTGCCCATTGAGTGTTGATTAATGACTTTTAGGATTGTATCTGAAAAATCCATATTTGGCCAACTAAGAGATGAACTAGCCTTCGGCTAAAAATCTCTTTAATAAAGAAGAAAAACATATTTGGCCAACGCCCATCATTACCGAATTACCTGTTTTATAAAAACCACCCCTAGTGCTCACTAACCGTTTTTTGTAGATATGATTATAACACCCCCATGCTCAACTTGCCCCGTACCTCCCCGTATATCTAAAATATGATACCGTTGTCTGAAAACTGTATTTTTAAAGGACCAAATCAGCTAATTCTACACTTTTCATTATCAGATTATAAACGAAAAGTATTATATTGAAGTATAGAAGCCCCAAATTTTAAATTTTGTGCAATCACCAAAAAATATGTACAATACTTAAGGTGCTCATTATAATTCGGCCAGGTATTGGGCGTTTACACCAAAATTTTAACTGATAACGGGATTTTCCTACCAGACAAGTGGTCGACAAGGTGTTTGAGCGAAAGTTTGTGTCTGCAATGCTTGATATTCGGCACCCTCCGCACAATATGACAAAATATATATGAGAGTTAACACTCGTCGTAAATGAATTATTTAGGACAGCAATTACATTTCTACCATTCTACTTTCCAATGGGTTTTGGCATAACAAACATTAAACCTGATATCTGCGGAATGTATTAAGATATAGGCCATCTCAAATTTTGAACAGCAAAAGTATTATGAAAATCCGTTGGAGTCCTAGAAAGTTTTGCATAAAATGTCAAAAAGCCGTGGATCACCTGTGGCAGGAAAAAGTTGAGTAACCAGAAAACGCTAAAGTTAATCATGAACAAATAATTTTTCGCGACTTAACGTATAGGTACAACGAGAAAAAACATTTGTAAAATACAAAAATAGAAAGTTTAAGTATACACCGTTTTCATGCTAAAATTAAGGGGAAAAAAACAACTAAAGTCTTAAGCAAAAGAAGAATATCCAGTAGAGAAGATTGTTTTCTGAAACACTTTTCCTTATCCAAATACGAATTCAAACAGCAAACTGAATATCAAACTTCAAACGATAAGAGCGCAAACAAAGTCAGTGCTAATCTTAATCATTTACCCTGTCAACTGTATCGAATCCAATTGTTCCAAATTTAATTTCTTCGGTTTGCCAAATTTGTCCTTTTGCAAGCTTTACAGAAATATTTACACAGAATTGATATAATAAGTGTTATACTTGACGCAGTGGAATGTAGCTTTGTGTTGAAAAAAAAAAACAAACAAATGAGTTGAAGTCTAAACAATAGAAAAAAAAGAAGGTTAAGGTCCAACGGAAGAAAATCTAGTTCGAGAAAGAAAATTAATCTCACTTCGTTATCGATGTGATATTTACACAAAATTAAATGAGTGCTAAAATCTTGCCAATCGATTCAACGGGTCTATGGACCGAACAATGAACGTAACTGAGATCTTGAATAAAACGCATCGTATAATATAGTTATTTTGTGAAACGTACCCTCTCTCACGCAGCGAACGCAGTTGAGCATTGTTGAGCAGCCGAGGTTCACCCGTGCCATCTGCCGCAACTGCATCCAGTTCGTCGAACGGTGGTGCAATGAAAAGATCACGCAAATTGATCGGGCGTGACTTCCGATTGGTGCTGGCCGTGTTATTGTTACTAGCAACGATTGCACCTCTGCTCTCCATTCCACCTCCACCGCCATTACCTACACCTCCTCCTGGACTGATTGAAAGAGGAGTAGGCAAATCTGGAAGAGCAGTAAATTTAATTAATCAATTAAGATCAGAGGTATTTTGACTGCTTACTGATAGGGAAAGTTTTCCAATGGTAAAGAAATTGTTCCGCAACGGCCTTGATATGCTCGATCAGCTGTTCTACTTCGGGTGGTGCTCCAATAAGGTTGATTTGGAAGTGTACCGGTTCTTTCTCGGGCGGCAGCAACGTGTTTGGACGAACAAGGGCAGGTATTGAAGTACCCATAGGAAGGGTTGCCGTGTCACCAGTCTCCATCGTTACGGTCTAATTGGCAGGTGTTTGTATTACATAGCCACTGAGAAACCAATATTCGATGCGTACTATCCTGTGATGCTAGATCACATTAGTAGTCCTAATGACTTATGTTGACTAATGTGTACCTATATGTCTGCCAGCAGACGTTTGCCCTTCTCGTGCCATATGGAATGCTGCAAGATAAAAAAAAAGAAAATAGTTTGATTTAAAATACTATCAATCTTTCGAGGCGTAGTTTTCAATTACGAATAAACAATACAACTTGCTCAAAAAAATCAAATAGTAACATGTTGAATATTCACCCATGAGACGACTTTGAGCAACCTATCAGTCCGAGATTCCCCACAATCCTCTATGCATTCCAAAATCTTTAAAATTCGTTAATCCCTCTTGGAAAGTAGAATACCACTAAGCATCCACATTCACATTCAGAATGCACGATGAATTGTAAATCGCCTGTCGCTGTTTAGAAGCACGGAATGGGAAAATAAAAATAATAATAAACCATCCATATAACAGACATAGCAACGTGCAAGAGTTAGAGATGGAAGAAACCGACTAGCTCCCCCCCGTGGAGTGTTTTGAGAACACCTCCGATATTAAGCGCTTTCATCCAAAGTCCAACAACGTTGTTGCTCGCAGGAACGTTTATCGCATTCTTTTCTCAGTTCGTATCAGTGTTAGTTAGCAGATAGTTTGCATTAATTAACGGGATTATACACTTTTATTTTGCTCACGGCGACCAAGGCAAGAGGGCTGAATTTCATTTTTTGGCGACAAACGGATACGTGACCGTTTGCGATAATTATCAAGATTGAAAATAAAAAACTTTAAATACACGTATGCACCTATCCTCCATCTTATTCTTTTCTCAAATATTCCATCCCAATTAGAATATTGCACGTGCCCTCATTATAGTGTTTTGCCGTTTTTTTTCTGTCTAAAGTAGAGGTTTGTTGCATTATATTATATGGCAAGCAATCAAAGGTCAAAGGAGTTTATTTTATAATTTTATTTTTTATGGTATCAAGCTGGAGCTGCGCGATAGCTTAGATTTCAACCCATGTGAGTAAAATATGCTTCTGTCTTTCGGGAATACTACAGATGGACTAGCCTATGTTGGAGCTTGAACACTAGTTCTTGTGTATTGTTTCAAGATAGTTATGGAAAAAATATTGTGACGTTAGTGCGTATTAACGAGGCAAAAGATACATCCGAGTAGTAATCCTATTGAATCAGTATTAAATCAACTTGATAAAATAGAATAAACATATTAACGATACTTCCGCGTAGTACTCCGATTGAATAAGTAAATCTGTTTAAGTATAAAATATCTAAACTAAGTGAGTTTCGAAAACCAGGTGAGTTCCGAACGCCGCGCGAATCAGCAGAAAAAACAGCTAATTACTTAAATAGTGCCACCAAAATAAATGTGATAGCCTATGTTGGCAAGTTGATAGATTTTGGATTCCTCCTTAAATATTCGACTAATTATACTAATTCTTAAATTTCACGTTCGTACCGACTAAATTAAAACAAAATACATAAGCCCAAAACGCGTTTGACAAGCTCTATCGAATTGCGCATTACGAAAGCTTCATAGGTCGCGTTGAGCCCCGAAAACCGCGAAAAGTTCAAAATGCACTTGATATAAAAAAAAACTTAGTTACCTACTAAAGGAGTCACATACAAATTTAAATTGAATCGATAAAGGGTGTCCACGATGAAATTGCCACACACAAAATTGATTCGCAAAATTCGAGTTTTCATCCGATTGCCATCAAATTTTCAGGGATTGAGAAATAACTATTAAACTTCATTTTACCATTTTACTCGTATTTTATTTACAGTCCATACGCAAATGCCCGCACCATGGCCTTAACCCCGGTCATAAGATTCTGCACAACCTGTGAATCAACCGTGTTTTGCATGTAAACCCATACTTTCTTCAGTTCCTCGACTGTCTTCACTACCTTAGGTCGTTTAAGAAGGTGCTGCTTCATAATCGCCCAGTACTTCTCGATGGGGCGGAGCTCCGGAGTGTTGGGAGGGTTGAACATTTTCGGCACGAAATTGACCTTATTGTCCGCATACCACTTCAGCACGTCCTTGGAGTAGTGGCATGAGGCCAAATCCGGCCAGAAGATTGTTGGGACATTGTGGGCCTTCAGGAGAGGAAGCAGCCGCTTCTGGAGGTACTCTTTTATGTACACCTGTCCGTTCATCGTGTCCTGGGTCACGAAAGGTGCACTCCGCTTCCCGCACGTGCAGATGGCTTGCCAAACCAGGAATTTCTTCGCAAATTTGGACATCTTCTGAGTGCGGACATGCTCCGGAACGCTGAACTTATCCTTGGCCGTGAAAAACAGGTTGCCGGGGATCTGTTTGAAGTCGGCCTTCACATATGTTTCGTCGTCCATGATGCAGCATTCAACTTTCGTCAGCATGTTGAGGTACAACTTCCTGGCACGGGTTTTGGCGGACTTGTTCTGCTTCTCGTCGCGATTAGGGGCCTTTTGTACCTTGAACGTTCGAAGCCCAGCCTTAGTTTTGGCCTTCTGGACAAAATTTCGGCTTAGGTGCAGCTTCTTAGCCACATCCCTAACGGAGGCGTTCGGATTTCGGTTGAAGGCCCCAACTACGCGGTTGTGATTTTTGGTGTTGTACGGAATACTTTTTCCTTCACTTCTGGGCTTCCGATCGGTGGTCAACCGTTCCTCAAACCGCTTAATCACTCGCGACACCGTGGAATTCGCGATTCCCAACGTTTTAGCGATGGAACGATGCGAGAGATCCTTGTTCTCGTGATGAATGCGCAAGATTTTATCACGCACGAGCTGTTCTTTCGACTCCATTTCCGCGAGTTTTGATCACAGGACTTTGAAACTTGCAGGATGTAAATAATGCACTATGAACTAAATCCACCCAAATTTTCATTAAATTCTACCCAACGGTTAAAAAGTTAGAGCAATTTCATAGTGTGGCAATTTCATCGTGGACACCCTTTATGTGAATATAGAATCTCAGCAAGATTAACTTTGCTCCCCAAATTATTCAATTAAGAAAAAAAGACTTCTCTTGATTAGTTTGAAGAGTAAATTTTCCTTCCAAAACTAATTCAAACTATATGTGTCAAAATAACATAAGAGTGACTTGCGGCCTATCCCGCTAGTACCACACCCAAACCCAAAGTCAGTGCCTTTAGATAAGCGTGCTGCTACATGGCTATAGAATATAATATATACAGGTGTGATACTGTCACTAGCGACTAGAACGTTGGTTCTCTCAAGCCATGGTTCATCAGATACGGAAGTGCGTGTGTGTGTGTGTGTGTGTGTGTATGTCATCCTCTATCCCTCATCCAGCTGGGGGCGTTGGACAAGTAGAACTGCGAATAATTTCATCAAATCCATTGCTCCGTAATGGTGCCCTTTATGTTGTGAAGACTAGTACTTCAAAAAGGATAACTTTTGAGGCAAGACAGGGTGTCCTCAACAAGTTAAGGGAACAGGATGCACTAGGTGCCCACAACAGATACAGCAAAACATCACATAGACGCCCTTATTTACATTAACTACTCAGGGGGACGAAGGTCAAGAAGAGCCACCGCCGCCAACTAAAGCTTGAACCGGGTACCTGGGACTCCCACTATATACCCGCGGCAATGGTCAGCAGACGATGCCCTGTGCGTATTTAGTATGTAATATGTTTTATTTGGATACACAAAATGATTGAAGCCATGCATCATGTAAACCCATAATTTGCATCACCACAAATACACTTTTCAACAATCTTCAACTGGAACGTACTCACCAAATCATTACATCCGGGAGCGCATTCCCGATGCTTCCACGCATATTTTTCTCTAGTCATTTTTAAACAATTCATGGTTCATCAGAGACGGAAGGCTCACTAATCCACAACGCCTGCCCATGGGGAGGAAATTAACGGTCCAAGGAGTTTATAAACAAACAAAAAACTTTTCGACTGGACCGAAATCGAACGAACTGGTTGCATTCATTTTTCAATTTTCATAACAAATGCAGAATGGCTACTGAACTGGAAAACCGAGGAATTGAAAACAACCGGGTAAAGCCAAGAAATAACCGGAAATTTTAGTGGAACCTTGAAATAGTTGCTAATAACAGTATTTAAAATTCTACGCCCAGTTTGTCAAATATTTATCTAAGAATCTTGAATTTTCCTTAAGCTCGGAATTCATAACTTTTCCATAGTACGGGATACAAGAAAAAATTGTCCAAGATCGTAACCCCAGCAGTGAGAATCCTTACCAATTTCTATGAACCATGCACGATTGCTTTTATTGACAATAATCGTATTGAATTTTATTATGTTAGTATTAGTATGTGATGACCAAGAATGAAGGCTAACGTATGTTTGTCTGTGGTAATAAACAGCAAAAATGTAAGATTCTATTATAGATTTGCCTAAAAAGTATGCATACTTTGCGATGTTCACCGCATGAACAGATTCTGTAAAGTGGTCGTCGGAAGATTTTTAAATAATTACATTAGATTTGTTATAAGCAAATCAGCAGAGTAAGTAAGAAATCCAGACTTACAGTTGATGTTCATGCCATTTGTTGTATGAGTAACAAGCATCTCAAGAAATATATATTTTTTAAATTGCAAAACTTCATTTAAAGCATAACAAGAAAACAAAGGGCATAAATAAGTCAAAAAATTTCGCTCTATGCTAAAATAATTAAATTCCCGACCCGATTACATAAGGGCATCAGTCAATTGAATACTCTTTATTATATGTGAATTAGGGTGAGTAGAGCTTGTATGGTGCATCACAACCCCCTGTTCCTGACTGATCTTCCGACGTATATTGACGGTGCCAAATTTAAACGAATTTGGATTAGCGGGAGAATTTAAAATTTTGTGTTGGAAAATGTATGGCAAACGAAACGAACCTATTCATTTGCTTTCCAAAAATTCAAATATTGCTCAAATTTCACCAAATCTTTGTCGAAGATTGCAAATCGATTAGACTTCCGGGAAAAATATATTATTATGTTAGTTTAGACCTATTGCTCATTTGTTGCGCATACCTACAGGCATATGAGTTTGTAGGTACGTTCGGAACACTTGGTCTAAAGTGAAAGATTAATAACTTTGTGTAGAAAGATCAAATCAAGCGACAAAGT